TTAATTTTAAGGAGAAATCGATTTCACGCCACTTGAACTCGCTCTCAATTGTGTTAAGTACACCGGGCAAGCTGAAATGTGGGGTAAATTGAGACAATTGGCGTAACTATCAGCGAAAGTGAATCATCACTGCGATTATTTTTAGCAGTATAATATATACTGTATATTAGGGTGGGTCAAGTTTGTAAGGTTGATCACAACCCCATGCTCCCCAATGCTCGGTAACTTCCAACAACTACACTTACTAATGACCACGCAAAAGTACTGAATATCTTGAGTCCATGTAAAGATTAATTTTCAATGTCTATTGGTAATCAACTAGCTTGAAGATCAGATATTTTTCTTGTTCTAGGCCTATTATCTTATTTGAATACTCGGTAGCATCTCCTGTTATTACACAGTGAAAAAGAAGCGTGAATTTCAGTTAAGTATGGACAGATAAATGGAGCGACAAGAATCATATTTTTTTTTATTTTGAGTCATGAAATGTTTCAAATGTTGAATAAAATCGATCATTTTTGCATGCAATATTTCTGGAAAGTTCTTAGCTAGCGTGAATGGCATTACAAGTTTAAATGCACAAATGTTTACATCATACGCAGGGATGCAACGGCGCCGGTGGTGTAGTGGTAAGCGTGATTACCTCTCACCCCAGCAGGCCTGGGTTCAATCCCAGTCGGCGCCGCCGGGATGTTCTGAGGCATAACATCTCTGATCACGCCTTCCTTCGGATGGGAAGTAAAGCCGTTGGTCCCCGGTTCATGAGTTGATGGGTCGATAGGTAGGGTCCAGGTGTGGGAGCTGCCTTCCTGACACGTCGGTAGCATTGGTGCTCAGCACGGAAAACAAGCTCGACGGAAAAAACAAACCAAAGGAAAAAAAAATACGCAGGGATGCCAGATTTGAAGACATATATTAATTTTAAGACATTTGAAATTCAAATTCAAAAAATCAAAATGGTAATTATTAACAACCAAGTAGCCAGGTCGTAGCCAGGCGTAAAAATGATCATGTTTCAAGGAAAAGATATTTGCTGCGAAAAACCATTTTCATTGCTGAATTTAATTTGAAAATCGATTTTTTTTTAAATCTCTGATCACAAAAATTACCAGTGTCCTATAGTTTGAAAAATGTTTGTGTGTTCAAAATATTTAATTTTTTAAAAAGTGTTTATATCGTTAAATGCTAGCTTGTATCAGACATTTGATGTATTGTAAGTTGGCAATGTTGGAAAGTGTTTGCTTCTTCTTTCCTTTATTTAATGTCAGTCTCTGTTCCGCAATCTAGTGCCAATCACCGACGGACATCGATTGCCATCCATTGACGGCAATCGAATGCGTAGGAGATATCGCACCCATTCATAGTACATGGGCCGGGACCAACGGCTTTACTTCCCTTCCGAAGTAAGACGTGACCAGAGATTTTTATGCCTCAGAAAAATCCCACCGACCTCGGCTTGGATTGAACCCAGACCCATTGGGGTGAGAAAGCAGTCACGCTTACCACTACACTACTTTTCCGTCGGTCTTGTTTTCCGTGCTGAGCACCAATGCTACCGACGCCAGGGTGCCTCCCACACCTGGACCCTACCCAACTCATGAACACGGGACCAACGGCTTTACTTCCCTTCCGAAGGAAGACGTGATCAGAGATGTTTTATGTATCAGAACATCCCGGCGGCGCCGACTGGGATTGAACCCAGGCCTGCTGGGGTGAGAGGAAATAACGCTTACCACTGGCGCCGCTAATGTTGGAAAGTCCATTAAGAATATTTTTGCTAATCAATGCTAATCTTCGGGATAGAGGGTGTTCCACATCAAATTGCATCACGGAAAAAAAGCTGTAAAAAATTACCTATTGGGCATTTTCTCTTGGAAATTTGGGTAAAAGTAGTTTACAATGTATTGTTTACGCTGATAAAAATACAGTCAGTCAGTTTTTCGAAAGTTGTCACCCGAGTCACCCAAAAAGCAACGTCGCGAAATGATTTTGCGCAAGCACATGGAAAATCCTCAACTCTCTCATCGGGACATCGGAAAACAACTCGGAATCGTGCAGTCAACGGTGAGTCGTGTGATTAAACGTTACTACGAAACTCTGAGCATCGAACGGAAGGAAAAATGCGTTCAGAATGGATGTTATATTAGTGATCAGGATCACAAGCGTGTCGTGAATGCGTTTAAGCGGAATCCCAATGTTTCGATCAGGGATGTGGCCAATAAGTTGAATCTGTCCAAGTCTTTCGTTCAGAGAGCCAAGAACCGGGAGGGACTGCATACGTACAAAGTGCAGAAGGCTCCAAATCGTGACGAACGGCAAAATACGGTAGGAATGTCACGGGCCCGGAAGCTGTATACCCAGATGCTGACGAAGCCTCATTGTCTCATCATGGATGATGAGACTTACGTCAAGCCGGACCTCCGGGGCTACTGTTCTTCACCACCCGGCACATGTTTTATGTTCCGGAGGAAGTAAGGAAGCAGAAACTTTCAAAGTTTTCCAAGAAATACATGATTTGGCAAGCGATCTGCTCATGTTGCAAACGGAGTGCGCCGTTCGTGACAACCGGGACTGTAAACGGGGAGATCTACCTCAAGGAGTGTCTACAGAAGCGTCTGCTTCCTCTGTAGAAGCAACACGAGGGCTCTACGATCTTCTGACCGGATCTAGCTTCGTGCCACTATTCAAATGTTGTCCTGGTACGAAACCAACGGGGTCACTTTACGCATTTGCTTATTAAATTTGGGTAGGGGCAGGAGGGGCAAAGTGGGCATTCCGTTCTTTGGCTCTGGATCTCCAGCTGCATGAAACAAATCAACTGGTAGTAGGTTCAACGTCATTATGACATTGATCCTACCACCAACCAATTTGTTCCGAACGGCCGGAAGACCAAGCTGGGGTATGGGATGCTCACTATGCCCCACCTGTTCACTATGCCCCTCTTACCCCTACCCTGATTATCAATCAAATGCTAAATCCCTTGTGCGAAGTGAAAAGGACAAAATTATCATTAATACAGTGCATGCTGCTTTTAATGGCAATTAAAACACAAGACGTAATGATCAATTTTACCCCCAGTGATCAATTTTCTCCCGATTTACGGTATTTTGTCTGATACTGTAGTACTAACGAATAACACTACGGGTACTAAAATCAGGTTTTGAGAGCCTCGTAAAACCAGTTTCAACGAATCGAATCTTCGAAAATCCAGTAGCCCACATGTTTCATATACAATGTGAAAGGCACTGAAAATTAAAACTGCAAAAACTAAACACCGTTTTCATGCTAATCGACTGTGCGAATTTTTGTCAAGCTTAATTGGGCATTGCTTTCCACCATCAAGTACGATAGATGTCCTCCCGCCAGTGGTGGATAAACCAGTTTTACTGAATGGAGATCTTCAGATAGAAATGTAAAAATGTAGAAATAATATAACGAAAAAAGTGCACAATTATCGATATATTTAATGAAAAGTAAATATCTTCATACAATCTAACGCACATTATCCAACAGCCACATACGATCAAAGGCAGCTCGCTGGTGGTGAGTGCTGCTAATTGAGTGTTAGCTAATTCCAAATTTTACTTACATCGTGTCAATTTGTACCAAAAATCACAGAAAGGAACCAGATTATTACTTTTTCTGCCAAAAACAGTTTATAATCACATCAGACAAAACTATGCGATTATTATGTTTTAATTCTGAGTATTGGTAAAATCAAGAACTGGGTGAAAATAACGAATTTTTTTTTTTTTTTTTTTTTTTTCCTTTGGTTTGTTTTTTCCGTCGATCTTGTTTTCCGTGCTGAGCACCAATGCTACCGACGTGCCAGGAAGGCAGCTCCCACACCTGGACCCTACCTATCGACCCATCAACTCATGAACCGGGGACCAACGGCTTTACTTCCCATCCGAAGGAAGGCGTGATCAGAGATGTTATGCCTCAGAACATCCCGGCGGCGCCGACTGGGATTGAACCCAGGCCTGTTGGGGTGAGAGGTAATCACGCTTACCACTACACCACCGGCGCCGTTAACGAATTTTTTTTATCAGTTTAAAATAAACAAAGATCTATCGAGAAATGTTTTAAAGTTCTAAACTAAAAAAAAACATAGAAAAAAGAAACAATACTTACGTCAAGACTCATAAAAAATAGATTGCACTCCCCAAGTCTATTCACAGCGACGGACCAGAGAAGAGCAAACAGCAAGAGATCCAAAGATGTTTTGTACTTTATGGTGCATTCGTAGCTTTGGCCTCTAAAACACTCGAGAGCTAATATGAATTACTGCTGGTGCTGCTGCTGCTGTTTCTGTTTGTGCCACCGTGCTTGGGCCTGAATCTATGTACTTGCTATTGGCGAGCTGCGGTGATGATTGGCTTCTCGGATGGCTCTTGATTAATTTGATTAAATGTAGGTATATGTGTGCGCCCACCGTGCACCGTTGTATTTGCGGGCTTAATTTGCTTAATTATGCTCGAGCGTTTCCATTCACTGATATTGTGGGTTAATGAGTGAGCAGGTGACCATGTCTTTGAAATTCATTACACTCCTAGGCAAGAAACAATTTCAACTTTACGTGTCACTCACAGTCAGCCAGTCGTTGCGAACAATTACGAAATTGATCAACGACTACGATTGTGTGTTTTTCTGGTTCGCTTGGATCCGTTTCCTTTCCACACTGATGAACACAGAGATATTTTTTTCGTGCACTTGAATTCTTTTTTGCTTCGCTTCAGTACAATTAATTCCCGTCACTTGAAAATTAAAACAAGTTTCACTTGAATTACAAGTCGCGTAGTGCAACCACACGATCCCCTGGAAGCAAATATGTGCGAAAACCCCCAAAATATAACACTGAAATCACGCATACTCTCACTCACGATCTTCTGACTGAGGTTACTTGCGATTTCTTTTCGGTACAAAACGTAAAGGAAAAAATAATATACTAAACGTAAAGCGACCAAATCGGAGACCCCCTAAGATCTACTTCACTCTACCGCTGTGTGTCGTGGCTCGACGTGGGACAAAACGAGACAGAAACCGCGCGACAACCCCCTGCACTCTACTTTCCACCCAAAAAAATAGGAGCAATGCGAGAGAAGACTCGCGAATAACCACTAAACCTTTGAAGAAACACAATGGATAAAAAGCACAACCGAACTCGCGAACACCTGGATGAAGACTGTCGCTCGGTGCCGACTCACCTGGTAAGTTGTAGTAGATGCTCTCCCATCACAGAAGCGTTGGATGGATCAATACATTTACCTCTCACGCAGAACAGCAACGAGCTCAGCTGTACAAGATACTGAGTCTGAGCATAGTGTTGCCGAAGAAATGTGAATATGACAGCGCACAGCAACAGCGGTTCTCAACACTTATACTGTGAACCGAGCTGCCAGAAACTACTTACCACGACCCACGGGTAGGAAGTTGGGTAAAATGGGAATGATTTCAAAATTTCTAAAAACATTTTTAATAGCGAAGTGAGTGGAAACAACCCTGTATTCAGCTTCATGGTCGATCCCAAATAACAATTTTGGTTTTATTAGGGTTCTGTAGATCATGATTTACACTTGTAGAGTGCTTTCAAACCTCGATAAAGCTAGCTAGCGTTGCTTGATATGGGACTATCAACAGTGCACGGTGGTCTAAATTAGTATTATTTTGAAGGATTTCAGGGTATTTATTTGCGGTCATTTTTGCGATGTTTGTTCATTCTTTTGCATTTTTTAGGGTTTTTTTAAAACTCTTTTTCAGGGCAGTATTGAGGTCATTTTAGTGTTGCGAGTTGACCCGGAGTCGATTTTATTTACCATTTTATCTTGAAACTGTATGTATGACCCCGGAACCGCTTGGACCCAGAAGGGTACGAACCTAAGCCCCAAGCTGCTGGTCTTAAGCCAACGGCAATTCCCGGGGTGGGCACTCAAGGTCTCTTTCGGTTCCGGGTCTCAGTGTGTTTGTTCTGTGTACCCGTTCCGATTACTCTCTCAGTGTTCTTAGACCATGTTCACACATTTAAGGTCACTTTTGGACTGATTTGGCGTTTTAGTTCATTTTTTTTTTCATTTTTAGCGTTTAAATTATTTGGCATTTATTTTTGATATGTTGGTATGTATAGCCATGTTAATGCCATTCTCTTTTTGGGCTTCATGTAGTTCGACAGTCAGTTTTAGCATTTTATGACCATTTTGGAATTTTAAGGTCATTTAAGACCTTACCATATGTGTATAAAATATTGGAGGGTGCAAGCTTATAAAATTTATCAAAGTAGCCCACAATCGACAAAAGAACCGCTGTACTAAGCTATAAGCAACCCAACAAACATTGAATGCTGAATAAGAGCTTATTAAGGCTACAATACGCTTCTTCAGCTAAAAAGATGCTTTTAATCAGCTGAAATTATTTGGGAATAGCTTCTGCACCAAATAAAAAATTCATGTAAATTTCTGCGATATATAGCGCAATCGTTAGTAACGCCAGATTTGTCGTAAATTTGCACGATATTTCATGTAAATTTAGACGCGATATCGCATAAATCAGCAATGTTGTAAACAATTTCGTTGTTTATGTGTACCATAGCTCAAAATTAAACGGGAGGAGATGTTACGCGACAATAAAAATTCAGAACTTTTTTTTTGTCTATAGCCATAAACATACTTTTTCATTCGCTGATCTTACATTTTTTTTAACGCTTAGTTCTGCTGTATCAAAAACCTTCATTTTCATTTTCTTATTAATTGTTGCAATTTCTTTGGACATTTTGAATTCTTTAAACGGTGCTTCGATAAATATACAGACCCTCAGACATAGTTTGGAGACTGTTCCATGTAATGCATGACTAAACCATTTATCTTTACATGGTATAATGTCATAAGAGTCATATTTAAGAAAGAGATAGGGAGCTATGGTGCACATTTCCCCAGATAATTTCTCATTGAATGTTTGATTCTAATTCTGGTTTCAGAACTGTATTAAGTTCCGTTATTAATCTTTGAAAAATCACAATAAATATAGAATGTGTAAAGCATAAACTTACACATTGCCTTTTTTCCTCTGCTGAGTTGATCCATTCACGAGAGTTACTGTTTGTTAGATGTTTGTGCTATTATGAAATTATCAATTGGCTGGCCAAGGCGGCCACGGTTTTAAGAAACAAAGCATTCATTTTACCATCAACGGCGAAATAAAAGGTATAAGCCTCTATTCTCTACATTAAGATATACACCGTATGAAAAAATAACGTAATTTTCTGCAATATATAGCGCACATGTCATTTACGCTAGATTTGGCGTAATTTTATTATATGATATTTCATGAAAAATTTAAGCACAATATCGCGTAAATCTGCAATATTGTATACAATCTTATAAGCAATTTCGTTATGTATGCCAACTATAGCTCAAAATTAAACGAGAGAAGATTTTACGCGACAGTTAAAATTCAGAACCTATTTCTGTGTAGTTGTTGAACTTTGTTGAAAATAAACTGTACACAGTTCGAAAAAAAAGTAGTGTAAGTTTCTGTTCAATGTGATGCACGTAAAAGGAGTGTCACATATCATATAAGCTTACATTATAAATCGTGTAAAGTTCTGAGACATTTCATGAAATCTTGCAAATATTGTTTCCAAAAGCCCATACAAGTTGCTCGTTTGCGTGAAATGAAATACAAGTTTACCTGAATGAATGTTTACATTACAATCAAAATTCAGAATTTTTTGCTGTGTGGGTAAATTCTTTGGACTTGTTAATTATCTGCCGGAAAAACTTGAGCGGCATACTAAATTTTGGATAGTTTATACCCCGTTCACATTACAGCGTATAAAACGTGATATACGCTGTCTTGCAATGAGTACTCCAACATCTAGTTTTCACTGGAAATCCTATGTATGAGTGCTCATTGCAAGACAACCTATATTACGTGATATAGGCTGTAATGTTAACGGGGTATTAGAGCAATTAAGATCGTGGACTTTTTGGAGCAAGTTTAAATTTCTTTTAGAGTGGCCCAGTATTGTAGGCGTACCAAATTTGTAGTAATTTTTTTCAAAGAGAAAGTTGATTAAGAAATCAATCAAAATCACTTGCACCCCTGCTTCCAAGTTTGGTTACAAGATTACAAGTCTGGAGAGCATTTTGTGTGGTCGTTGGGGGCTTGTGGTTCTGAATATGGACAAACAAGCACAGATAAATTCTATTCCAACTCTTTACTGATGTAAGCTTGATAGCCCTGAAAAGGGCCGTTTTATTGAAGAGGACATCCATGGCCACTTACGCTTGGCGTGTTTAGTGTAGGTGACAGCATCACGGATCTCATTTTTCAGGAACACCTTCAGAACACCTCGTAAATCAGACCGGAGATACGTCAGACACCGCCACGGCGAGCCAGACAACGGATGGTGGTTATCTCGAAGAATTTGCGTTTGTTTCTGAATATGGCGATGAGTGTACAAAATATTACGCAATTCCATCCTCCCTATTCGCACGCGCCCGAGGATCGAAGGCGAATGCCACTTCGACTTGTTTCGTCTACTTACTACTCTCTGACGACTGTGCTGGGGAAGCAGCATATGCATGTAGGTTAGACTGATGCAAAATTTGAAACAGTACTCAAACGGTTTCAAATCAGGTCCTGATTAGCCTTCCAAAATTTAAACTCATTTGGTAAGAAACTGACTTGGCACAAACTATTCGAAGTTTATATGGAAATTACTATAGGAAAACCAAACGTTTTGTTCATTGTCTTCTACCCATTTTCCATATTGCTTTTTCGAAAATTTCTAAAACTATTCTTAGGGGAAATTTTCTAAGCTACAACTTTGCCGAAAATCGTTTTTCAGCCAAATGTCAAATTAAATTGTTATTAATTGTTTAATAGATTGATAATCTTATGGCATGATCAAGCAGCTGTTCTGTTGGCAACACTGTATTCTACAGTGTGACATAGTAGCCATGATTTTTGTCCTCTATTCTACGCACCAGAAACACCAATGTTGTCTGCTGAACAGTTGAATGAGAATAATCATAAGACATCAGTGACTTGAATCATTAATAACTTTTGTTCCTTACATTTGATCGAAAAGTGGTCTTAAACAAAGTTGTAGCTGATTTTCAACAAGCTCAATTATCATATTTAAATGCATAGTGATGTGGTGAATTTTTAGATAGATATGAACAAAAACTTAAGTTTTCCCATAGTAATTTCCATATAAACTTGAAATGGTTTGTGCCAAGTCAGTTTCTTACTAAAGTAGTTCAAATTTTGGGATGCTAATTAGGACCCAATTTGGAACCGTTTAAGCACTATGGAGCGAAAATGTTAAATTTTGCATCAGTCTAATGTAGGTAATTGGTGGATTTGTTAGTTAATTCAACGCTTTTGGACAATGCTGGACATTTACCAGTTTTCAATAGTTTCTTGTTAAAAATCAACATTCGGAAGCATTATTATCGATACGTAGCCATATTTCTGATCGATTGGTGATAAAATTATTGAAATTGGACCAGGGGCAGTTGAGTTATTAACGTTCAAAATCTTTCATAATTTGTTACATGTTCTATTTTCAGTTTTCACAAAGTGTACCCCCATATAGAAATCAAAGACGTAGTCCTACGTCAAAAAAAATTGTGTTTCCTCGTGCTTTTTGGCTTGTACCAAGGCATAAAGAAATTCATTTTAATTATAATCATTTGTTGAAATGAAGATTCATCATGATTAATTTATCAGTGTTTGAATATTGTAAATTATTGTGAAAACTCCTAGAATTTAGTTTGAATAGTTGTTGCTGTAGCGTCGTGCTAGTCGGTCTGTGCTTCGGAAAAAAAATTCCGTATCTTTTTACGTTTTGGTGTTGGCGTTCTGCCCCTGGACAATAACCGGGAAAGATAGTTTTGCAGGTTAAACTAGGATGCTTCCGCGACGAAAAAAAAACTCCGAAATGTGCTTTACTCGCGCGTGGATGTGTCGTTTATCAAGTCGCTTTTTTTTGGTCACTTTTATCACGTGTTGTAATTTTAATTTTAATTTATGTACCTTTTCAAACTAGCTTTTGTTTTAAAAAGTAATATGACAATAGTGCGCGGTTCGAAAGGAAAATAGAAGGGGTTAGAATTGTGATAGAGTGTTTTCCCGATATACACTCAAAGATAAATTAAATCAAAAAAGCTT